GTCCATCACCGATAACTTGCATTATTTTCACTAACATTTAGATATAAAAATTTAATAAAACACCAAAAATAGCTAGCTAGTTTAACAAGTCCATAGATATCGCTATTAATTACTACGGCTGATAACGCGCTCTGCGACAAGCGGAAGCGATGAGAACCGTTTCCGGGTTTGGTCAGGTGACCCTATTCTCCTGTTGCAGTTCGAAGAATCGCAGTGACGAACTTCGAGGTTTGACCCCAAAAAAAAAATTCAAATAAAAATAAAAAAAAGAAGACCAAGAAACATTAACCACAAGTCATTTAAGGTCAAATAGCTACATCTCAAACCCAGTCCATTTAACTCAAACCCAGTCCATTTAACTCAAACCCAGTCCATTTAACTCAAACCCAGCCTATAGGGGTTCTGCGCAATATACTTCCGGTTCCGGTGCAAGCGTTTTGCATATGCTTCGTTAATTATGAAGCCGTTTTACTCAAGACGCCTTCAGAGTAAAGATACAAAAATCATAACCAACGTCCATCACCAATAACTTGTATTATTTTCACTAACATTTAGATATTAACGTATTAGATTATTATTACAAATAAATACATGTAAAAATAAATATGCAAAGAAAAGTAAAAATACAAAAATAAATAATTATTTATACTTTTATTTCCTTATTTATGTATATTTTAATTTTTTTCCACATTTATTTATTTTTTCTTTTATTTCTAATTTTGTCAGGTTTGGCATTCTACGTGAAAGGGCCTTAACTTTTTTGCTTGTTTGTTTGTTTTATAATTAAAAAATAAACAAGGAAGCCTAGCCCAGGTGACAAAAAGTAATGGAAAAGTAACGTAGTGCATTACTTTTCATAAAAAGTAACTAATGCAATGCATTAGTTACTTTTTTGCTAATTGGAATTAGTAACTCAATTAGTTACTTTTTTATGGAGTAACGCAATATTTTAATGCATTGCTTTTAAAAGTAACTTTCCCCAACACTGTATAAAAAATATGTACTGTAATATATATATATATAATTTGTGATTTTGTATTTATTTATATTTAAAATTTTGTATATATTTTTTCAATGCATTGCATTTTGACTTTTTTATTTATCACTTATTGTCTAGATATGATTACTTTCTCTCTATATATGTTCATTTATTTAAATGTAAAATTGTACACACACATACACACACATTCAATTAATTTTTGTATTTTTGGACATTTTAAATGTTTATATTTTTTTTATTAGTTATGACTTACTGATTTGATATGATTACTTTTTGTTAAGAATTTTCAATAAATCCTCTAAACGCCGCTGATAGTGAACTCTGCTGGATATTGATGATATCAAATACAGATCACTGGATATATATAGTATTCAAAAAATTCTTTACAGTCAAAAAAAGTCAAAGGAGAACTCAGAGCAAAGCTTAACTTAATGTAAACATTTATTTCAAATACTAACATCAAATCTTTGCCAAATATTCAACACACTCACACATAGACACTCACTCACTCACTCACACACACACACACACACACACACACAC